TGTACAGAAACTAAAGGAAAGGCGGCTTTTGGTTCCCCTGGCCTTAAGCACAAGTTCCTACTGCCTCAAAAGGAACCAAGTCACAAAAATGCCTGCGTCTCTCTGCCCTGTCCCTAGCCACAGACACAGAAATGGCCACGGGAGGGAGGAACCCATAAGAAAATGTTTGCTTTGCATTATCCTAAGCACAAACTTGTGACAACAGAGAAAATCAGCACAACACAGTCACCTTGAAATTCCATCTCTGGCAAGCCTGGCTTTGACTTTTGGTTTGTAAACGGGTTTCTGCAAAACACAGGGATACCTCCAGAACTGACTTGCGCTGTTTTATTGTCTTTACATCCGCTACTTTGAATGTTCTTTTAATAATACTGGACTGGTGCTTATCTCCATTCTGACCAGATATAAAAAACCAAGTAATTGCTGGGCAGAGGAGGTTTGTTTGCAATTAAATTTTTTTTTCTTAAAGAGAAATTCTGCCACCCTCTGGACAGAAATCAAAGATCTGTTTCATAGAGATACACACAGAATAGAGTTTTTAAAGACTTGTTCCCATCCCTAAAAATAAACATTAAAAAAAATCTGCCCTTTAAGAATGGGGGCCAAGGGGCATGGATAGAGCCATGTAGAAGGAGTCCTGGTTGCTTTAGATAGCGCAGACAAAATATATGAAAAAGAAAACTAGAATAACTCTACAGATTTTTTAAAACTAAAGAGAAAATGGGCTCAGCGCCCATCCGAGGAAAAGTCTCTGACATTTTAGCACACTCTTTGCACAGCCTGTTCGTAGTCTGTGTCTGCTCCCAGCTCTCCAATATCCAGGTCAAGACTTCTCACATGATTTCAGCCACGGCTGGTTTGCAGTTATATTTGCATTAAATGTAACTACATTTTTAATGAGTGCTAACTGAACATGAGGACAACGAGATTTCAGTCATTTGAGAAATTAGTCACGGGAATCCAGATAGGCAGTTTTTGAATCCTGCGTACTCATCCACAGGACATGCTTCAAGATATACACATGAAACTCTGAAAAACTGCAAGGATGTGCTTGTTACCAATTAAGATGTGGGGTGAATCAAAGCACAGCCACACCCTTCTCCTAGACCCCCGGAGGAGGACGCCAGACTGACACCAGAACTGTACCTGGTTTTAGCAACGGGGTTCAGATGCTTCTGGTCTTGGAGCACCTTGGCCAGCTGTTTTTGCAGAAACAAAACCTTGCCTTGAGCTCCTTTAATGAATGGGTGGTCCAGGAGATGGGTCACTGAAGGCCGCTTTTCAAAATCTTTAATAAGACACCTGTTTGCAAAAATCAACAAATAATTCAAACATGTAGCATTTGACATTCCCTTTCCCTGGGAATATAGGAGAGAGGAAGCTTGATGATACACTTGATCATTAACCCCACAAGCTCTTTCCTTTGAAATATATACCAGAAAGTGGAAAAATTCTATTAATTGAATTAGTTAAAACATCAGCAATCTACTTTAGATTGTCATAAGTAAATAATAAAAGCTCTTTACCATGAAGTATTTAAAACATTGGAAAAACAGACTGCTTAGAAAAATTTCTGTCTTATTTTTCATTACAGAAAAGCATTTTTCAAGAGAAGGAAGTTTATCTTGGGAGCACATAGGATTAAGATCTATCACTTCAACTAATCTCATAGAGATGTTCTTACTCAGAGGTGTGCGGCGCTTGGGGGCGGGGGTTGTTTAGGAGCTTGTAAGGGAAAAAAGGAACCTGCAAGGGAGAGAAAAGCCCAGGCACTGACTCCTAATGTTTTTAGAGAACAGAGAAGGCCCAGAACAGGAAGTGACTAGCACATAGTTCTGAAGAATTTTGATGGAATTATGCAAAGTGGGAACAAAAAGTCCATTCAAAATGGTAAACACCAGGTTCCATTTCAACACCTCTGCAGCAGTCCGGTTAGAACCACATCTGAGGATCGGCTTTATCTTTTGGACTCAATGACCTATCTAAAGAAAACAATGACTCAATACCTGTTGCTGTATGCTCTGTGCTAAGATGGTTTTGACACACAGAAATCGCTAGTGAAATGGAATCTGATGAATACCCCTCCAGTTACCTTTGTCCTTCTATTCTGAGTAGCCGCCTTAAGTCAGAGGAGGAAGTTTCAACATCTTTCCATCTCAAGCTAACACTGGAGACTAGGGATAGATACAGAATGCCCTTCTGCCCACTCAGTGTCACCAACAGCTCTGCTTTTTCCCGCAGAGGCATGCCAAGCAGCAACCCAAAGTCCTCACAAGCAGTAAGTAGTTCAGGACCCTCGGAGCATCTTTGACAGAGCATTTAAGCAGAATCCTTCACAGCAATCCCCAGTTGTCAGATTTACACGAGCTTTAAGCTTTGCAATTTTCACTTCAAAACACTTTCCCATCCATCCCTCACCTTCTAGTCCCGAAGGACTTGGTGACTTCCCTGGGTCAGTCCATTTCAGAATGGCACGGGGGCTGTGAGAGCCAGAGCTGGCAGTTGGAAAAGCCAACCGCACACAGAACATCTCCAGAAGGATGCCCACAAGACTATAAATACCATCTCCACCTTGCCAGAGGGAGAAATCAATCATTTGGCTTTTATCGGTCCAGGGTGCTTTGTATAGCCTATTATTTTTCCTAGCAACAATACAAAACCAGTGCACATTTCACAAAAGACGGCTCTTGTCTTCTCATGAGCAGTCGCCACTGGATTCCATGTATATTCATGGGTCTGTGTAGTCGACTGTCAAAGGAAAACACATTTGAGTCACTGCTGAGAAAAGAAGGAACTCAAGAGGGCTGTCTGGTTGGCAATCCAGGTGATGTTCTTCCCTCCTGGCTTAAGTGTGGTACATAAAAATCCCTAAAATAAAACGGCCATGTGTCTCCTGAGGGCTGATGAAGACAGACCTGGATCCTCAGAATGCAGTAGGATGGTAGTCCAGGATCTACCCAACGGCTCAACAGTTACTGCTCTTGGAGAGAAGACCGAAGTTCTGACTCCAGCACCCACGTCGGGTGGTTCACCACTGCCTGTAACTCCAGCTCCCAGAGATCCAACGCCCTCTTCTGGCCTCATCAGGCAACACACACACACACACACACACACACACACACACACACACACACACACACACATTTCTTTTGAGGAAGAAAAGAAAAGGTAAAATAGAGAAACCTTCCTTCCCAGGTAACTATTACCAATGCTTCACACACAGACACTCACGGGCAAAGCCCAACACGGACTAAGTGACAGCATAAAATAGTTCATGGCACATGAAACGGGCAGTGAGCGGAATGCACCTCCACCTTCCTCCCTGAGACAGGTGCTCAGGTGAGGCCCTCAGGAGAGGCCTGCGGACAGTTTGGGGGTAGCCTTGGAGAGTCTGTCCCTTGCAGTTAACAGTAGGACATCTGTCCTGTCCCACAGTGTTCGTATCTACCCATGAAGCAGGGCTTCCAGCAAGAGACAAGAGCATCTGCTGTCCTGGAGAAGGTCTCGCTTTAGCTCCCAGAGTGGGTTCGAGAAGGGCATGGCTAGCGAAGAGAGGGAATCAGGTGAGGGAGACGGCAGCACAGCCATCTAAGAGATGGTGGGCACGACGCCCCGGAAGACAATGAGTTAGTCTTCTCATAAGACTGGAGTGGGTGGAACACCACGCCATGGCATCCACGGAGAGAAGCTGAGTGTGCCTGGGAGGAATGCTAAACAGCACGGAGACAAATCCAGCTGCACAGGGAGCCTTTTTAGGGGAAGGACAAGAAGACCTTGAGAGCATTGCCTTAATTCACAAACAGCCCTGCATACCTTGTTCGCACAGGGGCAAAGCCCAAGTCTGAAAGGGAATTATTATTATATTGACAGACAGAGGCCAAAGCCCTGTCTGCCAGATAACAGGGCATCATCTCATTCCATTTACTCAGCAAACATTTATTACGCCGCACCAGAATTAGATGAAATAAACTAATGCATGAACAATTATGATGTTTATCCTCAAGCACCTACAATAAATTTAATTGGAAAGATGGGAGGACCAGAGAACCATAGGAAACGGTAAAATCTGGTGTTTGCTTATGTACTTAGAAAAAAAAACAAACAACAGAAAAACACTAGGCAAGGCAGTGCATGCCTGTCATCTCAGCACTTGGGAAGAGCAGGAAAGAAGATAAGAAGTTCAAGGTCATTTTCAGAATGTTAGTGACTTCCAGGTCATCCTGGACTCCATGTGATCCTGTCCCAAAAGAACAAAGCAACCAAAACCAGAAATACAGGGTTTTCAAGCCATAAAGATCAAGATTTTCTACTTACAAGGGGGGCGGGAATATGTACATATTCATGTGTGTGTGTGTTCTTGTGTGCACACGGGTGTGTGTGCACATGTGTATGGTAGCCAGAAGTCAACCTTATTGCCTTCCACAATTGTTCTCCATCTTATTTTTTGAGACAGGTCTCTCAGTGAACCTGGAGCTCACTGACTGAGTAGACAGGCTGGCCAGTGAAAGCTAGGTATCCATCTTTCTCACCCTACTGCTGTTCCAGCACTGGGTGTTTGCTGTGTGCCCACGCTTATGTGGGTCCTGGGGATTCAAACTTGGGTCCTTGTGTCTTTTGAGGCAGGAACTTTACCAAATGAACCACCTCCTCAAGCCTCAATCTTCTTTTCTTTGGGTTTGCTTGCTTGTTTTTCAACAAGAGTCCTTTACGTAACCCAAGCTGACCTCAAAGCTCTCAATCCTCCTGCCTCGGCTTCCGGACTACAAGGACTACAGGCATGCACCATGACACCTGGCCGAGATTTTCCTACTCTAATCTCATTTGAGAATGTGAAGAACCAAAGGTTATCCTGTTAGTGACGAGGCCCTGGGCCAACTCCCAAAGGAGGGCTCTTTCTACTCTGTAATGTTCAGCGAACTACAGTGTGCCAAACAATACAGTCGGGGGAGGCGGTGTTAGAGACCTCCATTCATGGAGGACTTCCTGGAGCTGGCAAGACCTGAGCCAGGTTAGGGAGAAGTAGAAGGAATTAGATTGATGGGGGAGAGGCAGGAGGCATTCCTAAGTGCAGCAACATCAATCAGTGTGGCACGCAGCACTAGCTAAGGAGTGCAATCAGTAACTAGGAAACCATCAGATCACCCACCTTCGCTGTTCAAGCTGCCACTTTTGAATACCTAAGGGCAATTTTTGTCTTTTGTCCTTTTACCAAATCTAAGGAATAACCATTATTGCTTAAGACTTTGAAGAGCGATGTCCTACTCTGCTTGCTCAGGGTTTTCAGCTCTTCATTTCCAAGCAGAGAGTTAATAGATGAAGACGAAACTGGCTATCAATAGGGATAGGAACCCCGACAGCCTCCATGTACTTTTCACAGCCAGAAGAACAGAAATAGTTTCCTGGTAAACCAAGTTTGGAGAACACTGGTGATCCTCTAAACCAAGTAAGTCTGAGGTTTTTTTTTTTTAAATTAAAAATGCTTGAGTACATTAAAGGTTTTTTGGTTTGTTTGTTTGTTTAATAAGCATTGGGGTTTTCTTGAAAATAATTTTGTTTGAGTCAATGTTTCCAAGCTTACTTGGCCATAGACATTTTTTTTAATTTATTTTTATTTTATGTTCATTGGTGTTTTAGCCTACATGTACATCTGTGTGAGGGTGTCAGAAGCCCTGGAGCTGGAGTTATAGATAATTGTGAGCTGCCGTGTGGGTGCTGGGAATCAAACCAGGATCCTCTGGAAGAGTGGCCAGTGCTCTTATCCACTGAGCCACCTCTCCAGCCCCATAGACGTGTTTTCTTTTTCTCTTTTTCATTTTCCTGCTGTTAGTGGGCCATATTCCACAGATTCCATCTTGGAAGTTCTGTTGTAAGCCCTGATTAGTGCTGTAGTTTCAGAATGAGGGACAGAGATGAGTTCTCCCCTTAGAAGACCAAGGCAAGACCCATGAGTCCCTAACTGTCACTGTACCTGGGATATCCATAAGCTCTTATTTCCACAGGAGGAAATCTTTCAAACTGGGGATGTGGTTGGCCCTGGTCAGTTCTTCTCAGAGTCTTTCACTTAAGGAAAAATAAAATTGAACATGGACTGGCTTTAGGGAAACTAAATCCTAGGTAAAATCTTTCACTGATGTGTTCTTTTAATCTCTTTATTTTATTTTTTCTTTTTTAAAAGTTAGATTTAGATGTGGTTTTTCTGTGATAAGGGACTCAAAGTAAAATATGATAAAAATCATATTTATATCCTGAGCAATAAGAGACCCTGAATTTACAAGGCCACATTTGACAGCTTGATTATGATAGAAAAACCCATGAGAAGAAAAATAGAGCAAGCTTCAGCCTTGAAGGAAACCCATTCAGTACCTGATTTGAAATTCTAGCACTTCCCATCATATTTTCTTGGCTTAAGATTAATTCTCTGAATTCATTTGTGTTCCCACATTAAACACAGGTTGTTGCTGCTATTTGCAGTAAGCCAAAACAGACAAAAAGCAAGAAGCAATGCTGGGATCTGACACTAGGAAGCCAGGGGTGTGGGGGCTTGAGGGTGTGGGGGTTGTGGGGGACTGGGGGTGTGGGGGGTTAGGGGTTGGGGTGTGGGGGGCTGGAGGGTGGGGGATTGGGGGTTGGGGAGCTGGGGTGTGGGGGGTTGGGGGTTGGGGTGTGGGAGTGTGGAGGACTGGGGGTGTGGTGTGGGGTGTGGGTGATGCCCTGGAGATGCAGCTGCATCGTCCCTGTAACCTGACATTTCATGACTGAAACCCCAGATGCCTGTGCATTAGGGGAGCTATTTACCAAGAATCAAGATTTACCCATAAATAAACCCACTTGATATAGAGCCGCTGAAAAAGCAAATACTAAAAATACTAAAATGAGCTTGAAAGAAAAAAACAAAAACCAAACAGGAGGAGAGCAATCTGCTCCCACACAGTGGGACCACGCTACATCAAAACCCACGATTTTCATCCATCCCCTCTCATTTCTTTGTCTATATTTCGTCTTTCCTACTGTCTGCTGCCTTCTTAAGGCTTGCTGCTTAGATGAAGTATCCCCGTTGGTACAGGACACCCAAATACTGTTGATCCGAGCAAACACTTCCCTGGCCCATGACTCACTTTGCTGCCGAGAGTTTCCTATCATCCTCACACAGAAGCCTGACTGGCAGGAGGAGAAAAATCCTCCCGAGGATATGGTAATTATAGGCTGAGCTGCAGAGCCTGTGGTGCTCTGCCTTGGAAGAAAATTTCCATTCTGAAAACCAAGACTGACAAACATAGGCATCTTCCCAAAGTGACTAATGTCGCCAAGAGGCAGTGGGTGGGGGGGGTGGGGGGAGGGTGACATTGCTTATATGATTTTAACGAACAACCTCCTTTCTGTGTGCTGAAGTATTTAGCCACATTTCATTTCCTAAAACATATGCACAGGCTTTCAATGATGTGTTGAGGTCTTACTGTTGAGACCTGGAATGACATGCTAACTTCATGCTTGGGGTGGGGAGGTGAGTCTTGTAAATGAGATGTATGGCTGCAAACTCAGCCAGGCAGCTGTACAGAAAACAGTCTGAGTGGAACGGCTTTTATTTGCTAAGTGTAAAAGCTCTGAGAAGGCAGGAGGGGTACTTCAGAGTACTCCCCATCAGGGAGGAAATCTGTAATGAGAACAGAGTCTGTGCCATCAGGAGGTCAGAAGGCCAGATGTGGTGGTTTGAATAAGAATGGCCTCATAAGCTTATATATCTGAATGCTTAATCATTGGAGAGTGGCACTACTTGAGAAGGATTAGGAGGTGTGGCCTTGCTGGAGGAAGTGTGTTACTAGAGGTGGGCTTTGAGATTTCAAAAGCCTAAGCCAGGCCCAGTATGTCTTTCTTACTGCTACCTGAGGATCCAGATGTAGAACTCTCAGCTACTTCTCCAGCACCATGTCTATCTACATGCCACCATGCTTCCCACCATGATGATAATGAACTAATTCCCTGAAACTATAAGCAAGTCCCCAGTTAGATGCTTTCTCTTATAAGAGTTGCCTTGGCCATGGTGTCTCTTCACAGCAATAGAACACTGACTAAGACAGCAGAGGACTTTGGGCAGTTGCCAGCTTTCCTGAGGTCCTGGCTAGGGAGGCAAAGAGGTAGAAAGAGAAAGAAGTGAGTCTGAGTGGTAGGCAAAGTGGTTGACACCCACAGACCAAGGTGAGGTCATGGAAGAGAAAAGATAGAACACTGCATTGCCTCAACCCCCAGCCTGAGGTATGAAGAGCTACTCCCCTCCTCTACAGATGACCCAAACAAGGTAAAGAAGTGAGGAGAGAAAACATGCAGGGTGGTCTGAAGCCAAACCATTGCATCTGCAGTCCACAGGGTAGGATCTGCCTCCAGAGGTAAGAATACACACTGTGGTTGGAGACTATCCATTCACAGAAGCAGAGCCCAGGAGTAGAGACCTCCCAAAGGCAGAACTGTGGCACATTGACACATACCACCCCCAGATGTGACTGGAGTGAAGCCCACCAATACAGAGACCCCTTCACCTTTCTCATTCTGATCCCTTGGAGATTTAAATAATTAGAAAAATCCAGACTAAGAGTTGGCTGTGTTCTTAGTTCAGGAGATGTGCTAACAAAAATTTTAGATTCTCAAGCACCACTTGCGTAAGGATAGTCTGCTCCCTCCCCAATAGGAGAGAATAGGCAGAATCGCTCTGGGGTGGGGGTCGGGGGCAGGTTTCTGAGGAACAACCCAGAAATGTTAAATGAATGGCCACTAACAGCAGGCCAGCCAAGCGACAGGAGGGGACATGATGAGGGGGAAGCAGAAGTGTGTCCAAGAAAAGGCCACAGAAAAGTTTGCTGAGGGAGGTGGCAACTTTATTTTGCTGATGGTAGTGCTACCTTCTGTAATGGATGTATTACAAGCGTGCCCTCTGCTGGATATAGCGGCAGCCGAGGAAGATCTCAAAAAACGTTTATAAATTTAATTTATTATTATTATTATTATTATTATTATTATTATTATTATTATTATTATGTGTGTGCATGCATGCAATGCATGCCTTGAAGCATGTGCCACAGTACATGCATGGAGGTCAGAGGACAACTTTGTGGAGTTGCTCCTCTCTTGAAATATTTATTTGGGTTCCAAGGATTAAACTCAGACTTCCAGGCTTTCCCAGTAAGTATCTCTACCCACTGGACTATCTCCCTAACCCAAATGTCTCAATTTTTGTGCCCCAGGACTAAGGGCATTTTGAGGGCAGTAACTGGTCAGTAACTGGTGGTCCTTCACTACTACCATGCTTCTTACTGTCTCAGTTGGGTTCTGATGAAAAGCACTTTGCAATGAAACTGACGATTTCCTTCTTGTGTGTCTGCAGGTATGTGTGTGTCTATGATGTGCATGTGTATGTGCAAATGTACATGCCTGTGCATGCATGTGGGGGGCAGAAGTCAGTGTCAAGTGTCTTACTCAGTTGTTGTAAGCTTATTTTGGGGGGGGCTAGTTATCTCACTTAACCTGGAACTCATCTGTTCAGCTAGGCCTAGAGGTCCTCTTGTCTCCATTTCCCCAGCACTGGGATCACGGGAGTGCACCACTGTGTCCCAAATTTATGTCGCTGCTGAGAATAGGAATTTCAGCCCTCTTGCTTGCACAGCAAGCTCTCACTGTCTGAGCCATCTCATGTGATGGAGACAAGGCATCCAAAATCCCAAGCCACCGGGCCGTGGAGCACTGGATCCCGGACTTCTCTCTCAGGGGACTATAGCAGCTGTCATCACTGCTGTTCAGCACAGCTAAGGTTGCCTCTTGGGTCTTTGCAATGGCAGGGATTGGCTAGAGATCCTTCAGACTTGACCAGAAAATCAGATGTCAACCATGGCTGTCTTGGGAGGTCTTCACTTAAGGTGAAAATTAAAGAGAGATTTGCTTAAAGCAGCCCAGGAAGACTAGGAGCGCTGGAGAGGTGGTAGCTGACCCCAGAAGCCACGTGGGTCAGAACAAGATAATCCAGGAGCTGCCAAATCTGTGTTTAAGAGACACAGCTCTCACCTCAAAGGAAAGAAAACCATGGTTTGTCCTGGAGCCAAATGGGAGTGACCATGGTCCAGAACACAGATTCACGTTTTTTTAAATACCGTGTTCCAACGTGGTAATAGTTTTATCAAGCTTTATAATAATAAAACAAAGAAAAATCATAAATCAAGGTGCTGTTCAAATATATTTCGGGAAGTTTCATGTAGGTAAGTCACAACGAAGTGGTAGAGGCCATCTTCCTTAGGCCTCAGATTCTATCCAGTGGCATTAGCTTTGGTTTGAGGGCATCTAGTAGTCTATTAAGTTAATGCATCTCAAAAGGTTTCACTGATGGCCACAAGGATGTTAGGTCACACTCAGAAGGAGATGGTGGCTGTTAAAGAACCCAAGACAGCCGGGCGGTGGTGGTGC